CAGAGCAGATTATCTCGGTTGTATTCAGAGCTATCAAAAATTTTTCAGTTAGTGAAATGCATAGAATTTTTTGGTGAGCATTTCTTTAGTTGACCACATTTTCATAGCTTTGAAAGCAACCGAGATATGTTGCTCTGAACTTACAGTACTCTGTTACAAGATCTACTGCGATAGTTTTCAGCTTATAATTGGTCACTAAGGAAACTCGGAATTTAATAAAATAAGGTATAAGGCAAATTGCCGATAGGATTGAGAACTAGGTTGAGTAGACACTAACGTACGGACTGGGTGGGTCCGTGAATGTTATTTAGTTGCAAAATCTCCAACGGATATTATATCTTCCAGGTACACATTTTATATTCAATTCAAAAAGTTCCAACTATCTTTAATTCTGTATAGGTTGGGCATTATAAGTAAGAGGCACTATCTGAAAAAGTTGAATTTTTTCTGAAGAGCCCCGGCACAGTTGAAAAAATTTGATCCGTTCCAGAGCAGTTTTGAACCATGCAAACACACATAAAAGTAATTTCCAAAAAATGAAAAAAAAAAACTTTTCAGGCCGAAAAATCTGAAAATTTTAGTTTTTGAGATATAGTTCTCAAAAGTTCTGGGGTACATTTGAATGCATTGGAGCACATTAAAAAAACCCAATTACCAAAAATGCACAAGGGATGTCTGTCTATAATGGAAAAACGTAAACCTATCCATACCAAAACAAACATTTCCAGCTCCTCCACCAAGCCTACCAACAGCTAAAACTCCGACGAGAACGAAAAGTGCCCAACATCCTCTACCAATTCGAAAAGATCCCCGGCCTTCACTCCATCCGCACCCAAACGTTCACATTCTTCTGTGGTGCTCAAAACTATCGCCTCTCAAGTTCCAGGAAAAAAGCACAACTCTATGACATTGACAGGCTAAGGGTCCAACGACTTCTTCGGAAACTTCTGGAGAATCCGAACATCCACGTGCCAGAGAACACCGCGGCCGTGTGCATTCCAACATGGTGCTCCGTGACCGGAGCCCGATTCCACGAGTTTCAATGCAGACCCCCGGCTCCGTATTGTCCGTGTCCGACGATTCTTTCGGAGTTCCATTATACCTATAAAATGGTGTCTGGGAGGGTTCAAGCGACATTTTATCACAATCGAAGGTGTACTTGTCTAGCCGGGATTTGTATTTATTTGAGGATACCCAATGAACCATGGTTCTTCGGAGAGCTCGATGAGGAGATGATTTTTGACTTGATTGGTGGGTTTTGGACGGGGGAAAGAGCATTTTAGAAAGGCGGAGGTAGAACATTTTGGCGAAAGCTGCTTAGCATGGTTGGAGCTGCTTAGAATTGTTGGAGCTGCTTATAATTGTCAGAGCTGCTTAGAATTGCTGGAGCTGCTTAGAATTGTTAGGGCTGCTTAGCTTTATTGAAGCTGCTAAACTTTGACTGAAGCTGCTTAGCTATCATCGATGCTGCCTAATTTTGACAAAAGCAGCCTAGATTAGACTGGAGCTGCTTAGATGACACCGTAGTTGCTCAACTTGGGCATAAGGTTCCTAACTTCGCCTAGAGCTGGTAAATTTTGCTAGAGCTGTTTAGTATTGAATTAAGCTGCTTAGTTCCCAACTGAAGCTGCTTAGATTTGACAAAAGATGCTTAACTATGGCTATGGCTGTCTAGGTTTCACCTAAGCTGCTTAGTTTCGAATTAACCGGCTCAGCCGGGCTGCAGCTACTCATCTCTCTCCAATCCTGTCAAGTTTTGCCCGGAGCTGCTTAATTCCCACTGAAGCTGCTTAATTCTTACTGGAGCTGCTTGATTCCCATTGGAGCTGCTTAGACTAGACTGAAGCTGCTTAAACTTTTTTACAGCTGCCTTAGTTTTGACCGAATCTGCTTAGTTTTGGCTGCTTAGCTCCAACTCAAGCAGCTTTTCGAAATGGGGTTGCTTTGATTAGTCTAGTTTGAACCAAAGCTGCTAAGTATTGCTTAAAGCTGCTTAATTTTCACTGGAGCTGCTTAATTTCTGCGTAGCTTCGACTAAAGCTGCTTAGCTCCAACCAAAGCTGCCTGACCACCGGCTACAGCTGTCTAGTAAGATGCTTAGTTCAGACTAACGCTGCTACCAAACCTTCAGGAAGTTGAATGAAGCTGCTTAGCTTCAACTCGAGCTGCCTAGTTCCTAAATCCAATCCCACCACTTTCCAGGCCCCGGCGTCAAACGGTTCATCTCCCCCCGAGGTCGTCGACGTCCTCCACCACCACTCCTCCCGCCCACCATCCCAACAGCTCCTCCAATGGAACTCTCTTCTCCAGATGACTCGGATTCCGAAGAGATGATGACTCCCGGAGAACCACCCGCCTATTCTACCGTATTCGGAGCCGTGCGGACAGATTTCATGTCTCGAATTGACGAACTTCCACCTCCCAACTATTATTCCCTGTTTATGAACTCTTCAAAGTTGTAGTTTGTAGTGATCAGGGCTGTGCTAAAAATTTTCGAAAAAAATCGAGAAAAAAATTTTTTTTTCGAAAATTTTGGTCCGAAAAAATTCGAAAAATGATTTTTTCGAATTTTTCGAATTTCTTCGAATTTTTTTTTCGATTTTTTTCAGTTTTTTCAGGAAAAATGGATAAGAAGACGGTAAAAGCACAAAATTTCATGTTTTTACCGTCTTCTGGTCCATTTTTCCTAGAAAAATTCGAAAAAAATCGAAAAATTCCGAAAAATTTTTAAAAATTTCGAAAAATCAATTATCGATTTTTTTTTCGGACCAAAATTTTCGAAAAAAAAGAAATTATCGATTTTTTTTTCGATTTTTTTCGGAATTTTTTTTTCGCACAGCCCTGATTTGTAGTGATTACACACATTGTGGGGACCTGTGAGGAATGCAGATGCGCTCTATTGAGAACGGAGGCGGGGCCTGAAAAGTTGAGTATTTTCCGATAAAAAAGTGATAATTTCGTTATTTCAAGTGGTTTTTTTCTTATTTTTGAACTTATTGTCAAGCCCCGCCTCCATTCTCAATAGAGCGAATTTGCATTCCTCACAGGTCCCCACAATGTGACAACTGTCATCGAAATCCACGTGGTCTTGTCGATATCATTCCTGTGTTTTTTTTTAAAAATCTATCCCTCTTTCCTCAGGAATTTTGTATGTTCTCAATAATTTATTTTGAAATGTTTTTATAAAAAATTTTTATTTACAACGACACTCCGATATCTCGCTCGCCGCGCGAGGTTTATCGAAAAAAAAACGAAAAAAATTTCGAAATTTCCAGAAAAAAAAGGGAAAAGTAGTGGAAATCGCCGGTTTTTTTCTGCAAAAAAACGTAGACTGAAGCAAGTGCACTCTACCGAAATCGGGCGGCGATTCAAATTTTCTATATTCTCCAAGGCGCAAATGATGAAGAAAAGCTTGGTTTTCAGCGATTTTCGTATTATTTCAGAAAAATTAATCCGTTTCTCATTATTTTACATGTATTTTATGGAAAAAGTTTAGTTTTGTGAAAAAAAAAACTTCAGAAAATAAGTTTCCAGTCATAAAAACTTGTCAAAAATGAATATTTCATGCTTATTATTCTCTTTTTTTCGTAAGATAGATCGAAATTTCATCAAAAGCTAAAATAATTTTGAATTGCCTCCAAAAATCGGTAGATTCGCAACAGAGCGCGCTTGCAGTAATCGCTTGCAGTTAGAGAAAAAAAAGTTGTAACAGAGCGCGCTTGCAGTAAAAACGTCACTTTGTGAGCCCGTGTTGGCACCAGGAAAAATTTTTCAATGGTGCACACTTTCATTTTTTCTGAGCGTCTCTGTTTCGAAATTACGCTGAGCCGATGTGTTCACGGTAAAGATTTTGTACGTGTTTTCAAAAGGTTTCATTCCCGGACTCTGTCCTACTGTAGGGTCACATGCCAACTGCGTGGCGACTCAGCGATACGTAGGCATTTTTCTCATTTTATTGAAAAATTAAAAAATCAGGGCCTAAGCTTTTTTTTTGAATCAAATTGAATAGAAAGTTTTCTTCGCATCATGTTGAATATAATATTGACAGAATTTAATCTAAAGTTATTACTGAAAAGTGCTCTGGAAACATGGTGCGCGCTCCTTCGGCTTAAGCGCGGCTTACTGTCAGAATTTAAAGACACAATATGAAATTTGTAAAAGTCCGTGTGAGATGGAGCGTAGAAGCCGAGAAAAAAATTGATCGTTCAAAAGAATTTACCATGCGTGTGCACTATAATGAAATCTTGACAAAAAATCTTCATTTAGAAAATTCGAACAAGTTTATTTCGGTTTCTTTTTCAAAATATTCATCAAGCTCCATTTCTTTTTCTTCTTCTTTTTCTCGACAACTTCACTCTTCTGCTCCTGTTCAGGCTTACACTCCTCCACCACTGCCTTGACCACTGGCCGTACCGACTTCTCATTATCTGGCACATGATCATGGTACTTCCCATGAGCAACTTTCCATGAGTCTCTGCAGTAACCCAAATCTTTATCCGTGAACATTTTTTGGTTTCTCTGCTCATAATTGATCTCATTAATCTCCTGAGCCTGAATACTTGCATGACGAAGCTCCATGAATCGATATTTTCGTTTTTTGGATTCCTCGTTTTCAAATTTCAAATCCAGTTTATCGAACCAATATCCTTGATAATGATCAGAATTACAGGCGGTTCTGATCAACAAATTCGATCCTTCGATTCCCCATTCTTTATCTGAATCCGTGACTTTTGGTTTTGTGTACGAACCCGAGACTCGCGATTTGTAGTGAGTGATTTCAAACACTCCGCAAGCCCAGTTGTACGGCGAATTTTGGAAGTTGTCCAACGATTCGTCCTGAAAAAACAGAAGTGTCCACAAGGCTTGCTCAGAATCGGAAAACGGAATTTCTGCTGTTTTTTTTTTTGAGGAAAAGTGTGCGATTATGTGATGAAACTTGAAAAACCCGCCAAAATGTAAAGAGCTCCAAGAAAACTTTAAAAAAATATTAAAAAACGATTTGACCACGGTGGGGTTCGAACCCGCGACCTAAATTCGAAAACAGCAGCGCTATCCACTAGGCCACGGTGACAAAACGCCCTTCCTCCGTTCCGCGCTACTGTCAAAAAAAAAAAAGTTCACGCAAGGAATTTCTTGGCAAGCTGCCAGCTGAGCTCCGCCTCTCAAGGCATTTTCAAACGCAGCTGCGGCGCGGACTTTCTGCAACAGGTGCTCACGCTTTCCTCATACATTTTTTTTTCGTCTGTTTCTTGGAAAAAAATGAATAGAAATCGTTATTTTATTTTCTCGAAAAGTTGTTTATACGGATGAAATAATTGTTTATACGGATGAAATTCGAGAAAATAACGGCAAAAACCGAGATTTCTATTCATTTTGTCCAAGAAACCGACGAAAAAAAAATGTATGAGGAAAGCGTGCGCACCTGTTGCAGAAAGTCCGCGCCGCAGCTGCGTTTGAAAATGCCTTGAGGGGCGGAGCTTAGCTGGCAGCTTGCCAAGAAATTCCTTGCGTGAACTTTATTTTTTTTTTTGACAGTATGTGCCTCGCAATACAGGAACAGAGAGTGCAGACAGGCAGACACTCTAACTTTCTCTAACCTCTCTCTCTCTCTCTCTCTCTCTCTCTCTCTCTCTCTCTCTTTCTTCTGCGCCAAGGAAGCCGAACTCCACGGAGCGAAGGAGAGAGAGTGTGCCAGACAGTCAGACACTCTAGCTTCTCTGCTGTCTCTCCATTAGGCCACGGGAACAAAACGCAGATGGCAGGTAGAGGCTAACCATCTCATTGCGTTTTTTTTCCGTTCCGCACTATGTGTCTCGCTATACGGAAAGAGAGAATGCAGACAGTCAGACACTCTAGCTTCTCTGCCCTCTCTCTCTCTCACCTTGGCACCTTTCATCACAATGTGAAACGTCTTTGTCTCATCTTTCCCATTCACATGAAACCACTGCGAAGTGATTCCCAATTTCCGTCTCGCCTCCTTTATCTCGAACATGAACGAATGACACGTTACAATCACATCTTGCGCGTTTTTCGACGGATTTTTGATACTAATCGTCGTTCCTTTCTCCGGATCTATCACGAATTTCTGCGGCTCCACCACCAGATACAATGGATTGTATTTGCAAATGTCTTCGTTGACATTTGCTTGCAAACACATCCAACCGTCATCCTCACCAACTTCAAGTTCGGCGCAGTATGCATATGTTCCGGGAGGGACTGAAAGATGAGAAGAAAAATTTCTATTCAATTTGATTCAAAAAAAGCTTAGACCCTGATTTTAAATTTTTCAAAAAAAATGAGAAAAATGCCTACGTATCGCTGAGTCGCCACGCAGTTAGCATGCAACCCTACAGTAAGACAGAGCCCGCGAATAAAACCTTTTGAAAACACGTACAAAAAAATTCACTGTGTAAGTTACCTGTGACTTTCGGGCGAATATAGTTCTTCTTGTCTTTGATGTGCTCATCGCGGAAGCCGTATCCCCAGCTCATTTTGATAGGAAATAGTTTGAGGAAAGACGATTGTTATCAGAGGGAAGGAGAGAGTTTAGCAGAACATGTCACGCTAGACGTGATCAGGGTTGTGCGAAAAATGACCTCCGAAACGTTTTCGAAAAATTTTATTGGGAAAGATTCATCCGTAAAAAATCGAAAAAATTTTTGTCCATAAAAAACCGGAAAAATCGAAAAAAAAAATGTGGATCATGAAATTTTTCTGTTCCAGTCTCGGTTTTTTGAAAATGCCCGTAAAAACCGAAAAATTTTTTGCGCTGCCCTGGAAGTGATCTACCGAATTTTTTACGATAGAGCGCTGGACTTGCGGAAAAAAAATTGAAAAAAAAAATTCTCCGCGACCTTCAGCAACGATGTAAAAAAACCGAAAAATGGTTTAATACCGAAATTTCGAAAAAAAAATTTGAACGCCCGCCAAATCTTAACAATGTTCAATGGAGCGCACTTGCTTGTTTTTTCTGACGCTTCATTTCCACGTGGCAAGAAGCAACAACCCCCCCCCCCCCCTCCCCCCCCCCCCCAGCGAGTGAGAGAGAGAGAGGGCGCAACCTTGTGTAGCCCCTCTTCACCTCTGTAAGTTGTTGCCCCCGCGGCGTAGCGGATAGCGCTGCTGTTTTCGAAAATCGAAACGCGAGTTCGATCCCCATTGGGGCCAAATTTTTTTTCTTTTTTTTTCAAGTATTTTTTGATTATTGGAGACTACAAAAACCGAATTCATTCACATAATCACACACTTTTTCTTCTTTTTCTTCATGTTTCTTTCTCCATTCTGAGTCTTCTTTGTAGCCGGCTCCACCGTCTCCGCCACCTTCATCTCCTCTATTTTCTTTTCTAACTCCATCTCTTTTCGTTTCCATTCTTCATCGAAACGCTTAAAATACTCAGGTCCTTTCTTAAAATTCTCCTCCTTCTCTCGATCTGTTTTCTCTTCTGGATCATTCGGTGCCACTGTCCTCATCATCTTATTATGGATCTTTTCTGAAATTTTTTCCAGCGCCTCATTCTCATAATACTTGAAACTTTCGATCATAAACTCTGTCTTCCGTTTCTTGACGTCTTCTGTCTCATATTCTGGAATGAGAACCTCCACCCAACGACCGTACTGCTGACATGAGTAGACTTGTCCATTGATGAATTGATTCTTCTCGGTGATATTCCACTTCTCATCACTATCGTCGTTTTCCTGACACGTCGTTCTGTAGTGGATGATTTTCAGGGTTCCAGAAGCGACTGATGGTGATGATGCGAGTATGTATGCTGTTGGGCGGTCCTGAAATTTTAATCAGATTGTTATGAAGGATGCCAGCGTAAGGTAGGTTTTGGGGAAAATTTTGGAAGCCCGGCCCGGCCCGGCAAGCCCGGATAATTTTTTTTTCGAATTTTCACCAATTTTTGTCAAAAAAAAAATTTTTTTTTTTCAATATTTTTCGTAATGAAAGTACAGCTTGGGAACCTGTGAGGTTTGCATTCGCGCTATATTGGAAAGAGGCGGGGCTTAATAAAAAGCTCCGGAATCGAAGAAAAAATTGAAAATTTGAAATTCGCGCCTCTTGGCCGGGCCTGCCGGGTAGGGCTTGCCGGGCTTACCGGGCCGGGCCGGGCTTCGGAAATTCTGAAAGAAGCCGGGCCCGGCCCGTCACAACTTTGCTTTTCAGATGTTGTCTCCGTGGTCTAGTGGATAGCGCACCTGTTTTCGAAATTTTGATCGCGGGTTCGAACCCCACCAGGGCCAAATCATTTTTCAATATTTTTTACAAGTTTTCTTGGAGCTGCATATTTTTGGCTGTGTTTACAAGCCTCTCAATACAACAAAAACCGAGTTTATTCACATGATCACGGATTTGGAAGAAATTCCAATTTTTCAGCAAGAATTTTCTACAAACATTTTTTAAAACTTGAAGAGTTCAAGTTAAAAATGCTTATTTTTGCTCAAAAAAAACATTTTTTGGCTCTCTTTTAGTTCAGGGGTCCCTTGAAAAAACAGGGGTCCCTTGAAGGGTCAGAAAAAAAATAGGGGTCCCTTGAGGGGTCGAAAAAAAAACAGGGGTCCCTTGGGGGGTCGGAAAAAAAATAGGGGTCCCATGCCACCCTCGGAAAGTCCAGAAAAAAAATAGGGGTCCCTTGAGGGGTCGGAAATAAAATAGGGGTCCCATCCCAAAATTGAACACCCAAAAAGAATAGGGGTCCCATGACCTCACAATGCCAGAAGCACGGATTTAGTCAATTTTAGTGAAAAAAGTGCCTATTGATGGTGTTTCATTAATCATTATCGGTGTTTCGAGTATAAAGAGCGGTATTCACTTCATTTTGTGCTGGTCAAATGATAAAATATCTCGGATAATAAAATTTTAAAACAAGATAATACATTGAATGATAGGAAGTAACTGATCCAATAAATTATGGGAGTACCCGACTGATACAGCTGAACTTACCCAGCTAAAGATTTCGTTGCTGCAACTATGGCTTGTTTGTTTTACTTCAACTACAGTGATTGAGAAAACTAATGCCTGCCTTCACTATTGCGTCTCACTTGCAAACTCAATCATAAGTGTAATTAGCCCCTCACAGTCGAAGCCTGCGTACATTATTGTATATATTTATTGTCCTAAGCCTTTCTCAAAAGTAAGGTCTTGAAAATCTCGAACTGCTTCCTCCCGCTGCTTGCATAACAACTTTTTCTAATAAACTTTCATATTAACATATCTGAAGTACTTCACACAATAGACATCTCTCATTGGTATTCACAATCAAACCCCCATTAATGATTAATGGAACACCATCAATAGGGGCTTTTTTTGACTAAAATTGACTAAATTAGTGCTTCTGACATTGTGAGGTCATGGGACCCCTATTCTTTTTGGGTGTTCAATTTTGGGATGGGACCCCTATTTTATTTCCGACCCCTCAAGGGACCCCTATTTTTTTCTGGACTTTCCGAGGGTGGCATGGGACCCCTATTTTTTTCCGACCCCCCAAGGGACCCCTGTTTTTTTTTCGACCCCTCAAGGGACCCCTATTTTTTTTCTGACCCTTCAAGGGACCCCTGTTTTTTCAAGGGACCCCTGAACTAAAAGAGAGCCCATTTTTTTTTCCTCGAAACTTTGTCAATTTTCAGTTTCAAAAATTTAACCTTACCCTGACCCCGGCCCACCGGACCGGGTCATGAAAAAAAGGCCCGGCTCGGATTTGGACAAGTATGGTTCCGACCAAAGTTGTGACTGGCCGGGCTTCTTCCAGAATTTTCGAAGCCCGGCAGGGCCGGACAAGAGGGAGAGGCGCGAATTTCAAATTTCCTTTTTCGATTTTTTAAGCATTTGATTAAGCCTCGCCTCTCTCTCTCCAATATTGCGCGATTGCAAACCTCACAGGTACCCAAACTGTGCTTCTATTATGAAAACTATTGAAAAAAAAAATTGGGAAAAATTCGAAAAAATAATTATCCGGGTTTCAAAATCAAAACTATGATTCCCGCTATCATTTTTTCGTCGCGGGTATTTCCCTAGAGTCCAGTAAACAGTTAACCAAAAGAAAACAAAGCGATATATATATAGAAACTCACATTAGGCAGTCGGGGTCCAATCTCAAAAGTAATCGTCTCGCCCTTGACCAATCGATGGAAAACCTGCGAGTCCATACCATTTCGTGCACGTGGATTCTTGATTTCAAATAGATACGAGTTACACGTCACAATCACATCCTGCTTGTATTTGGAATTCGTTTTGATGATGAACTTTGTTCCTTTCTCCGGATTGATCACGAATTTCGATGGCTCCATGATGAGATTCAAAGAGTGGGAGTAAGCGAAACGTCCATATGGGTGACAACTCTCATCATCATCATACTCTGGAAAGTTTAGCACTTATTTGTGAAATCTGGATTGGGCCGGCCAAAGCCCGCAGGCCCGGTGCTACCCCGCATTAGAACTGTCCCGCATTAGAACCGATCAGTATTTTTAGCCCGCATTTTCCCAAATTAGCCCAATCGGCCCAAATCGGACCGAATCGGCCCAAATGGTCAGGGTTGGACTAAATTGGTCCGAAACGGACCAAATGGGCCGATTTGGATCAATTTAAGCCGTTCTAGCCGGTTTGGATCGATTTAGGCCGTTCTAGCCCGGTTGGGCCGATTTGGGCCGATTCAGGCCGTTTGAGCCAATTTGGTCCGATTCGGGCGGATTTGGGCCGTTTGGGCCATTCGTGCCGATCTAGATGCATTCGGGCCGTTTTGAGCCGATTCGGACCGATTTGGGCCGTTTGGGCTGGCTATGGCCGATTTGGACCGTTTGGGCCGATTTGGTAGGATTTGGGCCGTTTAGGCTAATTTGGGAAAATTCGGGCCGTTTGGGTCGTTTGCGCCATTCGGGCTGATCTAGGTGCATTCAGGCCGTTTGGATCGATTTAGACCGTTCTAGCCCGTGTGGGCCGATTTGGGCCGTTTCAGGCCGTTTGAGCCGATTCGGACCGACTTGGGCCGTTTGAGCTGGATAGGGCCGATTTGGATCGTTTGGGGCGATTTGAGCCGATTCGGACCGATTTAGACCGTTTGGGACTATCGGGCCGATCAAGTGCATTCAGGCCGTTTGGGCCGATTCGGACCGATTTGGGCCATTCGTGCCGATCTAGATGCATTCGGCCCGATTTGAGCCGATTCGAACCGATTTGATCCGATTCGGAACGATTTGGGCCGTTTGGGCTGGCTATGGCCGATTTAGGTCGTTCTAGCCCGTTTAGGCCAAGTAAGGCCGTTTGAGCCGATTCGGACCGATTTGGGCCGATTTGGGCCGTTCTAGCCCGTTTGGGACAATTTAGGCCGTTTGAGCCGATCTAGGTGCATTCGGGCCGATTTGGGCCGTTTGAGCTGGCTATGGCCGATTTGGATCGTTTGGGCCGATTTGGGCCGATTCAGGCCGTTTGATCCGATTCGGACCGATTTGGGCCGTTTGCGTCATTCGGGTCGATCTAGGTGCATCCAGGCCGTTCGGGTCGATTTAGGTGCATTCGGGCCGAGTTGGGCCGATTTGAGCCGAAAATACTGCTCGGTTCTAATGCGGCCAGTTCTAACCAATACCACCGCAGGCCCGGCCCGGCCCGCATGCTCCGCACTGGAAAAAAAATTTTTTGGAAATTTTCGAAATTTTTTGCCGAAACTGTGAAAAACACACACATTTTGCAGAAATTGCCAATTTTTGACAGATTCGTGGAGGCAAAAATCTGCTCATTTTTCGATTTTGAAAAATGGAATTCAAATTTCGCGGTAACAGGCGGACCATGCGGCTCAACCGGCCTGGCCCATCAAAAGTATGGTTTAGGATACCTGATTTGTCTTCTCTGTCAGGGAATTTATATGGAACGCTCATGATGGCATAGCTATTCGGTTTATACACGGACTTCGCCGGTTTCTCCGATTTCAGTGGACGCTCAGAGGTTCCGTCTTTCTCCACGGTTAAGTTGATCGGAGCATCATCCGAGTTTTCTGGTTTTTCTTTTCTTGAGCTCATCTAGGAATTTTCAAAAGTAAATAATGATTATCACGGTCTCCTAGAATGGAAATAAAAACAAGCCAATGAGGTAAACGTGGAATGTCAAAAAATATTTACCTAGACGTGATTAATTCTCATGGGTTGGACACGGTAAATTTTTTTGTACGTTCAATATTTTTCTCGATTTCTACGCTCCATCTCACTCGGGCTTTTACAAATTTCATGTTGCGCCTTTAAAATCTGACAGTAAGCCGCGCTTAAGCTGAAAGAGCGCGCACCATGTTTCCAGAGCACTTTTCAGTAATAACTTTCGATCAAATTCTGTCAACATAATGCGAAAAAAATTTCTATTCAATTTGATTCAAAAAAGCTTAGACCTTGATTTTCAATTTTTCAAAAAAAATGAGAAAAATGCCTACGTATCGCTGAGTCGCCACGCAGTTGGCATGCGACCCTACAGTAAGACAGAGCCTGCGAATGAAACCTTTTGAAACCTTCACTGTGCAAAAATCACACGAGATATTCAGACGTGGCCGCGGGGGACTAGAAATCTAATGCGCACGGGCACTTCGGCCACGCAAAAGATTTTTTGGAATTTTCCGGCAACTGGCTTCTCTAGCAGAACTGTCCGAAAAAAAAGCGATATACAAATGGAAAAATTATTTTTTCCGAATTTTTTTGTGACGAAAAAGTGAAAAAAATTCGAATTTTCCAGAAAAAAAAACTAAAACCGATCCGGTAAAAAATACTCGGAAACTGACCGAAAATTCAAAAAAAAAAAAAACAACTTTTCTAAAAAATTTGAAAAAATTTCCGAGCAAGCCTCAACGTGACCCTAAGTTTTCCTCATTTTCTTAGCATCGCCAGCATAAATGCAAACATTTCAAATTTCGAAGAATGGACCGTTCTTCGAAAAAAGAAAAATCCGAAGATGCTTCTCTAAACTTGACAGTTGAAAGTGCACCACCTGAGACGGAGCCATCGAAGGTCGTAGAAGTGAAACCGAGGAAATGGGAACCAATGGAGGAGTCGGGATCGAGACACGAATTACAAGTTTATGCTCCAGATCTGGCAGGTATGAGCAATTGAGCAAATATTCAACTGCTATTTTCTCAAGTGCTATTGTTCATGTGCTATTTTCATAGCCCTCAGAAATAGCACTTGAGACAAAAGTCATAGCAGTTGAGACGTTGAAAATTGGAAAAAAATAGCACTTGATCACCCTGTAGCACTTATAAAAATAGCAGCTGAGAACCCGACAAACAATTGACCAAATACTCAACTGCTATTTTCTCAAGTGCTATAAGGTGATCAAGTGCTATGGGAGAGGCACTGTTGTCTCAAATGCTTTTCTGACTCATTTGCTTTAGATCTAGTGCTATTTTTCTAATTTTGAATGTCTCGACTGCTATGAATTTTGTCTCAAGCGCTATTTTTCATGTGCTACTACTCCCTGAGAAATAGCAGTTGAAATGGTGAAAATTGGAAAAATAGCACTTGATCACCCTATAGCACTTGAGAAAATAGCAGTTGAGCTTCCGCCAAGCAATTGGCCAAATACTCAACTGCTATTGCCTCAAGTGCTACTGGGTGATCAAGTGCTATTGGGGAGGTATTGTCTCAAGTGTTTTTTTGACTCATGTGCTATAGATCTAGTGCTATTTTCCGAGTTGCCGACGCCCCTGAGAAATAGCACTTGAGAAAAAGTCATAGCAGCTGAGACATTGGAAATTGGAGGAAAAGCACTAGATCTGTAGCACATGAGCTAAAAAAACACTTGAGACGACAGCACCTCCCCCTTAGCACTTGATCACCCTGTAGCAGTCTCGAATCTGCCAAGCAACTGCGCTCCATTGATAACTTTCTACAGACACCCTATACAAAGAACCTCTTGTCCAGAGGCCACTCCACTTGGAAGTGGAGCCAACAAAATTCGTGATCGACGTGGAAAAAGGCACAAAGTTCCGTATCAAATGTCTATCCGAAAAGCGACAAGACTTGATTATCACATGTGATTCGTATCTATTCGAGATCAAGAATCCACGTGGAAAACACGGAAGAAAGTCGCAGATTTTTCATAATGTTCAGCAGAATGACACGTTCTTCTTCGATATTGGGTTGAGGGAGGAGAATGTGAGTGGGGGAGAGGGGGGGGGGGATTGTCAGTGGAGCGCAGTTTTTTTTTTTTTTACTCAGTTTTAATGCATTTTTTGTGATTTTTCCGGAATTTAAGAGTGTTTTATGAAAAAAAACTGAAAAAGAAATTTTTTTTTTCGAAAAATCACATTTTTCGATGTTTTTTTTTGGAAATACGAGTTCCCGCCAAATTTTTTTGGAAATTTTGAATTCCCACCAAAATTTTTGAAAATTTCAGTTCCCGCCAAATTTCTTGAAAATTGAAATTCCCGCCGAATTTTTTGAAAAAACTGAACTCCGGCCAAAACTTTCGGAAATATAAATTCCCGCCAAAATTTTCGAAACTTGAATTCCCGCCAAAATTTTTGAAAATTCGAACTCCCGCCGAATTTTTTTTCGAAAATACTTGAGTTCCGCCAAAATTTTGAAAAATTTGAATTCCCGCCAAAATTTTTGAAAGTTCGAATTCGCGCCAAATTTTTTGGAAATTTTTTTGGAAAAGTTTTTTTCGAAAAAAGGTTTCAAATTTTTTGTTCTAATTTTTCAGAAAATCGATTGAAATCGAGTCAAAAAAATTTGAAAAGTTCGAGCCTATTTTTCAACGGTTTCGAAATGTCTGGTTTTCGATATAAGGGAGTTTTGGCGGAAATTCAAAATTTCAAAAACTTTGGCGGAAGTTCAAATTTTCAAAAAAAAGTTAGCGGGAACTAAAATTTTCAAAAATTGAGAGGGTTTCGAAATGTCGCGTTTTCAAAATTTCGCGGAGCCGCAAAACAAATCCTATTTTTCCAGGATCTCCCCAATGAAAAGAACATCGAACTGGAGCCAAACTGCGCCGAAGGCTATCTCGAGATCCTTCATTATCGACGATTTTCCAACGAAGACGGTGATGAGTTTTGGCGAATCGAGAGAAAAAATCAAATGGTCCGCCCTCAGATATTTCCGCGTTATGGAGAAGATAAGGTCTATGGTCTCTGGCGGGATGTTCTGAAGCCTAGTAAGGAGACTGAGGAGATCAAGAAGAGAAGACTGGAACTTCGAGAAATGAATTGGCAAAAACTCCAAAGAGCATCGATTGAATCGATTGAGAAGGAGTTGATTGGCGCTGTGATGATGACGAAATCGGTGAAGGATGATCCGGAGGAGAAGACGGATCGAGAGGCGGAAGAGAACTTGAGAACCAAGGATCCGAAATGGTTTCTGGCTCGAGAACGCAGTGAACAGCGTCGGAAGTCCCATATGCAACATATGGAGTATGCGGCTCAGCATCCAGAATTATACATAAAGAAAAAGAAGAAAAAGTGTGTGATTATGTGAATGAATTGGGTTTTTCTATGTTTGAAAGTGTGTAAAACAGGTGGAAAATGTACCAAATGACTTCGCAGCTTCAAGACAGCACTTGAAAAAAAAAGAAAAAAGAAATGACCCCACTGGGGATTGAACCCGCGATGCGATTTTCGAAAACAGCAGCGCTAACCGCTAGGCCGCGGAGGCAACAGGCTGCGCAGGTAAAGAGGGTCAACACAAGGTTGCGCCCTCTCACTCTTTCTCTGGAGGGAGGGGGGGGGGTGCCATGGTTTCTTGCCACGTGGTCGAGAAAAAAAATGCAAGTACGCTCCACTGAACATTGTCAAGATTTGGCGCGCATTCAAATTCTTTTGTAATTTCTCGCAAATTACCGGCTTTTTAAGCATTTTCTCCGTAGTTTTTCGCGGATTTTTGAAAGTTTTTGTTTTTTCTATTGGTTTCAAGCGATTTCGGAATAAAAATATCGATTTTTTGTCAAAAAAATCGAATTCTAATTTTTTTTGCACTAGTTTTCCCAAAAAAAAATCGAAAAACGGAGAATTTGGACGTGTTCTCGTAACATGACATATCCAATACCCCAATTTCAAAAAAAAGTGAACAATTTTCATTATTTCTACCGTTTTCGAAACAAAATCTCAATAAAAAATGGAGCGTGAGCAAAAAATGGAACTAAAAGACATCAAAAACTACAGTGAAATTTGTCTAAAAGGTTAGTCCCACTCTCCCCCCAGTCCCGCCCCCAGTACCATTTTTTTGCAGTCCCACCTGGAAAATATGTGGAGAACCGCGATTATGATTGGGAGGCTAATTATGGCTTGGATTGGGAAAATGAGTATTTATACATTGGGCCAAAAAAAGTCCTCGACATTTGCAAACTCAATCCGTTGTATCTGGTGGTGGAGCCGCAGAAATTCGTGATAAATCCGGAGAAAGGGACCAAGTTTAGTGTCAAAAGTTTGTCGAAAAACGCGCAGGATGTGATTGTGACGTGTCATTCGTTCATGTTCGAGATAAAGGATGCGAGACGGAAATTGGGAATCACTTCACAGTGGTTTCATGTGATTGGGAAGGATGAGACGAAGACGTTTCACATTGTGATGAAGGATGCCAAGGTGAGAGAGAGAGGGCAGAGAAGCTAGAGTGTATGACTGTCTGAACTCTCTCACTCTTTTATTGCGTCGAAAATGGCGACGATAGCTTGAGAGAGATTAGAGAAAGCTAGAGTGTCTGACTGTCTGGCACTCTCTCTTTCCGTATAGCGAGGTACATAGCGCGGAACGGAGAGAAAAGACGCAATAAGATGGTTAGCCTCTACCTGTGTGTGGTCCCTGTGACCTAGTGGAGAGACAGCAGAGAAGCCAGAGTGTCTGACTGCCTGGCACTCTCTCGCTCTCTCGTAGCATAAGTTCAAACGTACAGCAACCCCTTGGAGGTTTTCCAAGAGAATAATAGGAAGATGAACATGTTCATCTGAAAAAATGGCGGCGAGAGAGTGAGAGAGGGCAGAGAAACTGGAGTGTCTGACTGTCTGCACTCTCTCTCTCTCACCCTTGGCGCAGAAGAGATAGAGAGAAAGAGAAAGAGAGAGAGAGGGCGCGCATCAATATCTTTACCTTCTACCTCCTTTTCCCGCGTTGCCCCCGTGGCCTAGTGGATAGCACTGCTGATTTTGAAGTTTCGATCGCGGGTTCGAACCCCACCGGGGTCAAATCTTTTTTTTTTAACTTTTTTTTGTGGCGAAACAAGGGCTTCAGAGCCTCATGGTGAGGTTTTTTTTTGAATAAGATTCTGATGCCCAGCGACGAAATTCTTTTTGCGACATTTTGCCAAATTTTGCATCGCCAATTCCAGTTCAATTAGCGGATTCCTGTAGCTTCTTGAGTTCGGTAGAGCAAACTTACCCCGAAATCGAAAAAAATTCCATGGACCCCCAGAGCTGTGAAGATAGCAACCTTAGAAACAAAACTTAGAGAGGAAGAGGTGTTAGAGAAGGCTAGAGTGTCTGACTGTCTGCAGCCCTTCTCTCTCTCTCTTTCCTTCTCGGGGCGTCAGAGAGTGAGAGACACAGGGAGGCTCGATTGTCTGACTGCCTGCGCCTCCCTTCCTCTCTCCCTCTCTCTCTCTCTCTCTCTCTCTCTCTCTCTCTCTCTCTCTCTCTCTCTCTCTCTCTCAAAAGCCTTTTTTTCAGAACGAATCCCTGGAAAACTTTGCCAACTCCCCTCTCTACCTAGCTTCTGGCCTCATTGAAATCACTCACTACAAATCCCGCATCGCCGGCTCCTACACCAAACCAAAACTCGTGGATTCAGATGAGGAATGGGGTATCAAAGGGTCGAAACTACTCATTCGAACTGGAAGTATTGACACCCATTATCATGGATATTGGAAGGATTTCTTGAAGGTGGAGCATGAGACAGAAGACGTCAAGAAACGAGAGGCAAGATTCAAGGAGCTACTTTGTCAGGAGATGGAGGCGGAGGCGGTCAGGAACTGGACCGCGGACCCGAATGCGAAAATGTTGACGGACACTGAATACCGGATGGATTGGAGCTTGAAGTGTTTGGCGAATCCAAGTTTGTTGCAGCAAATGAGTGACATAACGATAACAGAACCTCCTAGACCTCCGAAGCCTCCAATTCGATCGGAGCCGCCACCGGTAGAGCAGCCAAAGAAGGTGGAGGAGCCAAAAAAGAAGAAGTGGAAGTTGAAGAATATTTTCAAGAAGAAAAAGAAGAATTGAGCTGTTTTTGGAGAGGAATAAATAAAGATAATTTGAATATTGTTTTTTTGAATTTTTTTTTCTGGCTCAAGAGGAGGGGTCATCAACAGAGTTGCAACCGGCCGGGCCGAGATTATTTTTCCTCCGGCCCGGTCGGCCCTGTAAAATTACCGCGAATTTCGAAAAAAAAACACTAATTCTGTGCTCCAGGGGTATATTGAGCATAAAAACTGTAGTTTTAGGTTTTTGAAGGGTTTTATCATGATGAATACTACCGTATAAATTTGATTTTTACCGCAAGGTTTATTGAAATTTATCAATTCCCATCGATTTTCAACAAATATTTTTTTTCCTGAGAAAGAATTTGAAACATCGCTAAAAATCGATGGAAATTGATGAAATTCGATGAATCTTACGGTGGTAATTAACTTTGTACTGTAGCTTTCGTGTTGATACAACGCGGCTGTCAAGTTCTCGAAACTTGGCATCAATTTACTGTTACAGAGAAAAATTTCGGTCAAAAAATGTTGCAATTCGAAAAAAAATTTAAAAATTTTCAAAAAAAAAATCGAATTTCTTTGAATCCGGTCCGGGCCCTGATTTTCCCCCTCGGCCCAGCCCGTCAGTTTGCAACCCTGGTCATTAAAGGCTGTCAGACCGGTGTGTGAAAATTTCACGTTTTTTGACTGAAAACTCATCAAAACAGTGTACAATGCTTCAAAACCAAAAACTCTTGTTTTTGTGCTCAATAAACCTCCGGAGCACATAATTAGAGTATATTTTTCCGGTTTTTCAAAATTCGCGGTACTTTTCCAGGCCGAGTGGGCCAGCCTAGCCCGGCCCGTCACAGGTATGTGAAAGCCTAAAAATCTTTATCTGAATATCTGACTCCGCCCCTGCTTTTGGTTGCATTTTCGACGTGGCGCTTAAGATTTCCAGACTCTCAGGCTCCGGTGAGGGCTGACAATTTCAGAGTCCACTCTTAGAAGCATCTACTTCCAGTCCTGTAGTTTATAGAAAATTCCTAACCCACTAGAGAGAAATATTCCCTTGTCAGTAACTATTGGTCAACTTTTGGTCATACTTTTATTCATACTTGTGAAATCTAGGGCTGGGCCCGCTAAAGCCCGCAGGCCCGGCCCGGGCCGAGCCATGAGGGAATTTTCAAGGCCCGGCTCACATGGCCCGCACTTGAGAAAATTTCTGAATATTTTCCCCGAAAAAAATTACAAAATTTGCAGAAATTGTCAATTTTTGGCAGATTCGTGGTTCAAACTACTCCCAACTTGCAGAACATGTTACATTCACACAAAATAAGCAAAAATCTGCTCATTTCTCGATTTTGAAAATAATTCAAACTTCGCGGTAACTGGCGGGTCATGCGGGCTGGTTTGGAATTTCTGATAAAGCCCGGCCCGGCTCATCACAAGTACGCGTTTATCGGACTGCTGAACCCAAAGCGAAAATGTTGACAGACACTAAATGTCGAACGGATTGGAGTTTGCAGTGCCCATTCCAGCTGGTTGGAGCCTGTGTCAATGTACTCGGAACCTTCTAGACCTCCTAAAAACTGGTCATAACCAACGGTAGAATGTCAAAGAAGAAGAAAAAGTGGAATTTGAAGAACATATTTTATGAAAAAAAAAAGACAAAACAAGGATTTATTGGAGGGGAATGAATAAATAAATAAAGATAAATTTTTGCAGCGTTTCGGCTTCATAACTCCACCATGTGAGTTTTAATGATAGGAAAAATGTTTAAATCAAGGTGTTAGAAACATAAAAAGTGAAAGAGTGTAGAAGAAAAATGTAAAGAATCGTGAAAATTATGATTTTTTGAATTTTTGAAAAGTTGGTTGAATTTTTTCAAACAAACCAAAAAGAAAATGAGATTAGAAAAAGTCTTGAAAGCAATTGAAGTCTTGAAGAGTCGGTGAGGTGACAGCGAGTGAACCAGTCAGCTGAAAAATTTTGTCTTCATTTCATTTTAGGAGCGAACCAGTCGGTGGCGCTTCTTATTCCCCCAAAAGTAGGAAATTTTATGATTTTCGCTAAAATTTTCAAAAAATTTCGAATTCCTGCCAAAACTTCTGAATTTTTGAACTCCCGCCAAACTTTTTGAATTTCGAATTCCCACCAAAATTTTTTCAAAATCCGTACCCTCTAGCTTGATTCGGCCATTTGGAGATAGTTTGCATCATGGGAATTTCGATTGTCGCTCCGTCTGCTGCATTGTCTTGAAGAATGAGGTTGAATAAAACGTTCTGTCTACTTCTCCGCACTCGACTTTTTGATTCCATCGGAAATAATTCGAAACATCATTGCATTATTTTCGAAAAGCATTCATGATAACTTCAACAACTTCAGTTTGAGGCGTGATCAGTAATCCATTTTTCCCTTTCCTTTTCCGCTTTCGATCATATCCTGGTAAAACTGAATCAATCTGCGCTTCTGTTGGATTCAGCTGTTGCTTTGGATGGACCATGGGGAGTGGAGGACACGCCCAAAACTTCACAACAAAAAATCGTCTATCCTTTGCACATTTGAAGTAGGAATTGCGTGATGAATCTTACTCCTCTCTTCTTTTCAAAGAACTGAACCGAGTCCAAATATTCGATGCTGATTTCACCTGCTTTAGCTTTTTCGGATGACAATTCGGTCCATACTTCCGGATCTCCGATAGGTTTTCCAAATGCCAGAAGCAGCTTGCTTATTTTCTCCATCTCTTAACGGCGGATCGTTCATCATCTTCTACTTCAAGCCGCTGCTCATCAGACATGAAGATTCTGATCCTTCCTCCTGCGAGATCTTACAACTGATACTGGATAGAAATGGATTTTTCTGGTAGATCCTTAGGCGACATCAACTGCTCCCTGCCTTCCAGAAGACCAGCTCCAAGTCCTCTACACCACTTGTGTCCTTTCTACTGTCTTGCAGTTCCTCGAAGGTCTGGTTGACTTTTTCTGAAAAATCATAAATCAATAAGAGGATTTTTTCCCGATATCTCTTCTATTTACTAAAGGAATAGAGCGCTCTTCAATTCTGTAACATTTGGAGCTTGGATTACTGTAGGATTGCCGTAGCTACAGTAACCAAAGGTTCAGAGTGGGCAGATTTGTCTCATTTTCCGCGTGTAATACCTTTGGGACCCCAATGATATACGAACAAAAAACGGCGGAGATTACTATTGAACTACGGTAGTTAACAAATTCCAGTAACATCTTATCCCTTTCCAGAAAGTTCTCGAATCTTCTAGGAACAAAAACAAAATGTGAATTGGCTGAAATCAAATTTCCAAAAAATTTGGCGGGAGTTCAAAATTTCAAAATCTAATCAAAAATCGGCTTCTATTAAAGGGTGCGCCTCTATTATTATGGTAATCTGTACAAAAGACAGTTGTCGCGCCTGCATCGCAGTAGCACACCACGAAACAAGGGCCTGAACCACAGCTAAATATTTTTTTCAAGTATAATTTATGTTAGGGGCGCTCACTAGTTCGAAAAGCGCGGATGAGAACAGGTTGAAAACATGACTTACCGGAGTCTGTGGTGTCCAAAAGTTATATAAATTTATAAATGATCCATCGTGTTGACGGCCCAATGCATATAAACTTCTGAAACATTCATTGTCCTTTTCCAGAACATGAAATAGATCGGACTCACCAGAATAATCATAAAAATAGCGACCACCAGTCGGACAGTCCAGGGAAACGAATGAATGGACATCCTTCTCCTCCTTCTGGAGATTGGGAAGAAGGGGGCGTGTCTTTCTCCGATGGTCAGCTTGGGGAGAGGGGGGCGTGGCTTGATTGCGACACTCCTGACGCAAGTTGACCCTGGATTAGGGATGGAACATCGAAACAGAGTGGGTTTCGCAACTTCTGACGCAAGTTGACCCTTTTCTGATGGAGAAGTGATGGTCGAAAACGAGTTTGCGCAATGAGTAATGCAGGAAAAGTCATTTTCGACCATCATTTCTCCATCAGACAGG